AGTCAACGTAGCTGTATTCGTGCTCATTGTTGCGGTCCTAGTCAACGTAGCTGTATTCGTGCTCATTGTTGCGGTCCTAGTCAACGTAGCTGTATTCGTGCTCATTGTTACGATTTGCACCGACGTTGGCGTAGTCGTTCGCATTGGGCCTCATGCTGACGTAGGAGTCGTATTTTGGTGGCGGGGCCGCCGCCGCCGCAGCGTCGCTGCTCCTGCGCACCGACGGCGGTACGTTCGCGTAGATGGGTTCGGCGTGTTGTGCGTCGTCATCGTCGTCGCTGTCCCCCTCGAAGTCGCTGCCGTAGAAGCTGATGCCGACGTGCTGGCTGTAGCGAGTGATCGGCAGCAGCACTGCGCGCGCCGCCGGGTTCTTCACCTTGACGTTGTAGCGCGTGCGGCGGCGGTGGCTGCCGGCGTGCGAGCGCGGCGGCTCCGTGACGGTCACGGCGAGGGCGGCGGCCGCGCCCTGCGCTGCGACGGGCTGCATGCTGTGCGCTTCTTCCACCTCGCGCGAGGACTTGGCGGCCGTTAGCGGCAGTGACACCTTGCGGTGCTTTGAGCTGTTCTTTGAGCGGTGGTAGCTGAAGGTGTGAACAGTTTGGTGTTAGAACGCGAGAGCTGAGGGGGAAATGCTTAAGCAAAGAGCTGTACGGGCTGGTTTTGTGCCGAGGATATCATCGAGGCACGACGAGTAGGCAAGACTGGCTGTACACGAGTTGCATTCTGTTTGCTAGCCGGGAAATCTTCATCGCCTGTATGTCGCAGGGGTAGGAATTAACTTTTGAACAAGGGAGTCCAACGGACTCCCTGCCCTAAAAACGAGGGAGTCCGCAGAAAAATGAGGGAGTCCGCAGTCTGAAATTTAAAACTAAAGATATTAACAATAACGCATGTGCTTATTTTGAAGATTCATGCAGTTGCACATCTGCCCAATTTTCTTTGGACATTTGCTGAAAAAATACGGTAATTCCGTGGGGCCGTGCTCTGGAATGAACTAGTTAGTATAGCAGAATTTTCAGGGAGTCACACGGACTCCTGCATATATATGTCAAATCAGGGAGTCCGACAGTAAATCAGAGAGTATTTGACTCATGGACCCCCTAATTTCCCGTTAATTTCGCACCCTGATGTCGTATCCTACATTTATCTCCAAACCTTGTATTAGCCCACCACGTGTCCACATCTGTTGTCCACTATCGCTTACCCCCTACCTCGTACCCCCATCTATTATTCTCCTCCTCACAGCCCCTCTTCTTATTCTCCCCCCCCCACCTCTAACTGATTATGTTACAAGATCACCATTGATGGTTTCATTTCTTATCCCCTAATATTTTATTTCGGATCACCAACCGCTCAGGAACTACAAGAAACTACAATTTTTCTTTTTTCACGTTTTTGTTATTAATTCTACACGTATTAACCTTGTTAATGCTATGTATGCAGGCACAGATATATACCAGTCAGGAGTAGATAATAGGGAATTATCCCTATTATCTACTCCTAATACCAGTACATAATTTTCTTGCAAGTAGTTTACGTGAATATTAGCAAAGTTTCAAGATGCATACCAGCAGCATACGACGCAAGCTAGAATGACGCCGATTACCGTCGAACATGCAGCGATCACCACTGCTGGTATCACACTGCCCTTGTCTATAAATGCACCTGCAGTGGAGAAAAAACACCGACACAATTTAACTTCAGATTTCAGGGGCAGATATGTGAATTAATAGTGGGTTTTGTGGGTTAAGGGATCGATACTAAAAGGTTTCAGAGATATAGTCTCAAGCTGTATTTTTTTTGTGACGCCAATAACAATGTATGGAAAATAAGCCACTGTGAAATACGGTACTGTATATTTTTCGCTTACAGATATTTTTGCGAATTCAGACTTGACGGAAAATTTCGCGGTCGGTGAAGAACAGCGTGTTGTTATTTTCGCGGTCGGGGACGCGTTCGTGAAATTCGCGAAAATTAAACCACCGCAAAATATACAGCGTAACGGTAACTACCTCCGCTCAGAAAGCCCCACGCGTACGGCGAGACCTCCTCCGCCGGAGTCGTGTTCCAAGTCTCCGCCCGCACCGGTGACGTCAGGTTGTAGAAATTCGTCAAGTTGTCGTTGCCAATCTTAGGGGGACAACCAGGGAGTGGCGTCGCGGCAGCTTCCACTGAGCTGAACTCCGTCGGCAACACTGAGTGAATCACAGGAGCACTCGTATCATGAGGCGAAATGGGAGGTGGAATCAGAGGTGAAATTAGGGTTGGAATCGGGAGTGGAATCCGGGGTGGAATCGGAGGTGAAATCAGCCGTGGAGTCGGGGGTAAAATTAAGGGTGGAGTCGGAGGCAGAATTGGGAGTGGAATCCGGGTGGAATCAAAATTGGAGTTGGACTCGGGGATGGAATCGGAGGCAGAATTGGAGATGTAATTGCATCTCTATCCACCAAGCAACGAGGAAGCCTCCCTCCCGCAGGTGAGCTTGAATCGCAGAAGCAGTCTTACGATGAGAAAAAATGTGATGTGGAATCAGAGGTGGAATGGGATGTAAAATATGGGGCAGAATCAAAGGTGAAATCGGAGGTAATTTGGTGGTGGTGGGGGGAGGCTGAATTTCATCGCTACCTAGCGTTCACTTAGTTAAGGGATTTGAGGTGCCAGTTTTCCAGCGTGATTTTGGCTCGTGTACGACCCTTACCTCTGTATGTGATCCATGGCGTGGCGTCTGGCACTAGTGGATAGTCCCACGGTGTTACTGTGATGGGGCCGGATACTCCAGATATGACTATCTCTTGCACTTGCACGCAATCATTAACGTAGCGCTTACTGCTTCTGTAAGGCAGTGGTAAGCGTTAAGGTGTCACTGTGAACTGTGGAGGTGCGTTGGCGAGGGACGAGAATGGTTGCAGTCGTATGACCGTGAAACCCCGTACCTTCTGCATGTAATCAGTTTCATGACTTTTTGGGCGGAAATTTCGCTCGATGTTACGTTTTATTTATAATTACGTTCAGCTGAGGTGTGGTAAGGGACCTGTTAGCATTGTCCAACAAATCAACTGACCAATATTCCCTAGATATAAGAAAACACTAATATTGTGTGTGTTGCATAATATGTATTTAATATGCGCAGCTGTAATACTGAAATAAATATGATATATTAATAATTTCATCAATAAAACTCAAGGTAACGAAACTCAGGAGAACCCTATTGCGCTAATGTCCCGTCGCTCCCCCATCGTATACATTTCATTGTGGCAATATTGTGGTGTTTGAGCACATTTTTATTGCACTGAACGCAGTTTGCACAGCCGCTCAAGAATATGAATATAACCGGGAACTACAGGAGCAATAGATCACTCTCAGTAATCAATGCTGAATTAACTTTCTCATTTAATTTTAACTCCACTTACTCCTCCGTAATTGTCACGCAGGTTCCCGTTAAAAACTCGTGAAATATGAACTGCAGTGTTCGATAGGGCAAGATATGAATGATCCAGGAGCAGATAGTGTTCTTTGGCTGCAGTGGAGGCGTGCGGATCAGGTGACCTACTCCGTCATTGAGCGTCTGTTGGAGTCCCGTGCAATTGAACAGGGTTGCATCTGGAAGTAGCGTTAGTCGAGGGTAGGGTAGGGGTAGACCGTAGTGTTAGTTAACTGGTGCCTCGAATACGCAAACATCTATCGCATAGTAATCGATCACATGTGCTTCTCCACAAGATTTTAACCAACTTAAGTCATATATCTCTAAAAACGAGCTAGTATCGTGCAATAGCTGGCACGTTCAGAACAACCACTGCACAACAAGCGTTATTTCTTTCTTTTAACAATTGCGGTGCAAAGTGAGCGATGTAAAGCAAGTAAAGCCTGCATAGTAAAGTACCAGGTACTGCATAGTAAAGCCAAAGTACCTGCGTAGTAAAGCAAGAAGTTGGCTTGACAGGCGCTCGCCTGCACAATCGTTATCGTCGAGTTTGGCGCCAAAAGAGCAGCTCCCTGTTGTCCAGGCCACGCAAGATTGCTCCGGTCATTTGTCACTATCAGCTGATTGCCGCTGCAGAAGTCACTGTTCATCATGAAAATGGTCATTACGCGGTCAACACTTGGCTCGCTGCACAAGTTTATGCTAATGGGTTGCTTGCCTTCGACCCCGATCGTCTGCGGATAGCCGGCCGAGGCGAGATATCCATGCTTTCGCGGAAATTTCCAGCTGCAGTTCTCAGTGCAGATGTCTGTCCGCAGTGCGTCTGAAAGGGGGGATTGGATATTCTGATATTATATATCAAGAGAGAACAGTAAAGGATATCAAAAGAGAGTGCATTTGAGTATTGCACTCTCTTCACTATATAGACATCGCCTATTTTACAGTTCTCCCTCGCTCTTATACTCCGCTCCTCTCTGTCTCTCCTTCAGTGTTCTTATCGCTTTTCCCTTCCTTTAATGCTTCCCCTCTGTTTCCTTGCTTCCTTGTCTGGCCATCACTGCCATTTTGTACACTCGAGCCACTACTCGAGTCCTCCCTAAGTTCTCTCAAATATTTTTGTATTTTCTGTTCTTCTTTCTCTTTCCTTTTTTTTTTATCCCATCTCTCTCTCTCTCTCCTTCCCTTTTTTTTATCCCATCTCTCGCTCTCTCTCTCTCTCTCTCTCTCTCTCTCTCTCTCATCTCTCTCTCTCTCTCTCTCTTCTCTCTCTCTCTCTCTCTCTTCTTCTTTTCTCTCTCTCTCTCTCTCTTTTTCCGTCTCTCTCACTTCTCTGCTCTCTCTTCGGATCTTTCTCTCTCTTCACTCCTCTCTCTTTCTCTCGTTTATCTATCTCTTCTCTCGCTCTCCCTACTTATATATCTTCTATCCCTCTCTCTCACTCCTCTTTTCTCTCCATATCTCTCTCTCTCTCTCTCTCTCTCTCCTCCGCCTCTTTTCTCTCTCTCTTACTTATCTATCTCTCTCCCTCCTCTCTCTCTCTTTCTATTTTCTCTCTGCTCTCTCCTCTTCTCTCTTCCTCTCTCTCTCTCTTCTCTCTCTCGTCTCTCTCTCTCTCTCTATCTCTCTCTCTCTCTGTCCATCTTTTGTTGCTCTCCTCCCCAACCTCTCATTTTCTCCCACTCTACCTATCTCACTCGTCTTCTGTCACCCTATCCCGCACATCCCCCTTTCCACCTTCCTTCTGCACCTCCCTCCTCTCCTCCTCTCTTTAACTCGTTCAATCTCTTTGCCTCTCTTTCTGCTTTCCCTACCTTACATCGCTCTCTTTCACTCACCGCATTTCCTTGCAATCAAGAGCGTATAAAGAAGGGCTTCTTTATACGCTCTTGCTGCAATCAGTATACTCACCTGGTGTGCAGCTGTATACTGAAAAAGTATATGGGCCGTCACGTATCTGGCAAGAGCTGGTGTTGTCGCATTGCCTCCTGTATTCATGTATACTGTCATTTAGGTTTATTTCGGTCAATTTCTCCTTCGTGCCGGACATGCGGTAAAGGAAAGAACCTTTCCTGCAGCTTGGATGGCGTGGACACGGACTGTATCTCTGCACAGCAATCCAACTTGAAGGTCCGCACTGCAAATCCGTTGCCTCGCCTAGAAATTTATACCACTTGTAAAAGCGTATTGGTGTTTCCCCAGAACGAGTTTCTCGGATTTCACGATAATGTAAGTTGATTTCGTGATGAATCGGCGGGGATACTATGGTTTCATGTCTGTACAGCCGCCGCCGCAGAGATTTTCCCTTCCGCTCTATAACTCGACCCCTAATTGACCTAGCGTGACCAAACTTGGTCTACTTACACATCTTGGGGAGAAGGTGGGCAGCGTACCAAAACCAGGTCACTGCGGCCTTTATTTGACCTTTACCTTGACCTTGATCATATTTCCCTTCCGCTCTGTAACTCCGTCCCTAATTCACCTAGCGCTACCAAACTTGGTAAACTTACACATCTTGGGGAGAAGGTGTGTCGCGTACCAAAACCAGGTCACTACGACATTTATTTGACCTTTACCTTTACCTTGATCATATTTCCCTATATATATATATGTTGACTCGTCACTCTGTCTTACACGTGTTGCACGGACTTACACACATCACGTATGCGCTTCTCTCCTCGCTTGTCACGTACATGCAGTGTCG